AACTCCTCTGTCAGATCCTCTGCTTCTCCGTGCAGCTGCGGAGAGGCTCATATTTGCACCCTAAATAAAATGGATGAATGCCATCATATCAAGGCATGTGACCATATAACAAGCTCTCAGACTCCCCAAAATTAAGGTGTAGGTGTATACCTAAAAAGTTGCATGAAAAGAACACAAAGCAGCTGCAAATAGCAGACTGCTAAAGTAGATAATGACAGACCCAGGCAGAGTAGCTTCACATATAAAAATATTATTTCTTAATGGACATAATAAAAATAGGTGATATCTTCAAACAGTGAATCCTGACACAATCACCTAAACACCATAAAAAAAACAAAAACAATCCGGATTGTAAAGCGCCAATGGTGTCTATTCAGACATGAGTGTGATACAGTAACTGATGATGAATGTTCCCAATTGGGAGCACCTGTGGGCAATAACCGTAATCCCCTCCAAAGATAGTTAATAAAAGGTATACTGAATCAAGTATGGCATGAAGGCAAAGTTCTGTACACAGAATATGATATGTTATCCAGATGATTGCTTGAGATAGTAATAAGGCTAACATGCCGCTCCAACCAATCATGCAAGCAGTACGTGTGATGTCAAGGGCCGATATTAGCAGATAGGAAGACTGTACCAATCCTCTTCCTCTCCTATCACTGATAGAGTGTGAATAAGACAGTATATGTGTCTTATAGAGATATCTCACACACCTACTGCTACCATATAGTAAAGATTGTCAACAGTTCAGCCTCTCTTTGGTCCTTCCTTGTGAAATGGCTCCGTGAGCTATGCGATCGGCATTCCATCCATTCCAATAGTCATACATTGTCCATGCCACTGAACAAAGTGTATAATCATTTCCAGCTTATAGAAGACTTTCCCGGGGTTAATTGAGTTGCCTGGCATCATAAAGCTGTCCACAAAATGTCTGGTATATAGACCTCATGGAGCGCTATTTCCGGGTGTGATGACGTCATTTTGTTGACGTGTTTCGCCCCCGCCAATCGTGGACTTCTTCAGAACAAGGAGGGGTCAGTTTACAGCTGCTTAAATACCCTAATTTCAATAGAATAGCACCCCGCAGTGTCATGATGTCATCTAAATACCTAACTTGGGCCCCTGTCCATTTTTCAGGGGGAATGATTGGACCCTCCAGTCTGCTCTATGGAGCGGCAGATGTAAACAGATATGCTTCCATTTACAGCCACCAACATCTGATCCTAACCACTAAAAACAGATCGTATGGCAGTCAGGTGTAAACAGACAGGCGGTTCAGTTACATCTGACCACCCATAGAGGAGAGGGGGCTGTGTCTGTGACCGCTGTGCATAAGCGGAGCAGATACGGACCAGCTATCCACATGCTTAGCAGGCAGATCCCCCGCTATGCAAGTGAACTCTAACGGAGCCCACGCCATGTGGAAGGGGCCTTATTCACCATATACAGTCTGTATGTATGGTTTACCTGTCACATCTTAATATATGGTTTACTCATTTTGGCTAAATCTATGGTTTACTTTTTGTTTCTACATGACTGGCACACCCATCAAATCTCATTATTTGGTTTACTGTACAATTCTACTGCATGAATTACCCATTGTTCCTACAGGCCTAGTGTACCTAAGGTACCTAAATGCCTGGTGTGCTTTTTTTGCAATATACAGTTTATGCATCATCTCTAAGTGTCTTTTGTGTATTAATTTACTCTATGTAATGGTATGGTCATATGAAGCACAGCTCCTGTCATGCATTTCATACTATACGACAACCTCCAACCTGGTTGGATTGAGTATATATTTAATTTTTTTTTTCTGTACACTTTTGTATTCCTATTTCTATGTATCCGTCCTAAATGGGGAAAAAAAAAAAAAAAATTTGAAACTTTGGGGAAAAAAAGCGCATTCTCGGTTTGATTTTAATCCATACTGGGATTATATGTCCTTTTTAAAAGGTCAGTCCACTCAAAAGCGATGTTTTGGATTGAGCCTTGTGGGTTGAATCAGCAAATATCCTTCCATATTGTGTTGGATACTCAAACAGCTAGAGTTCCTTGCCGTAATTCCCATATCTCTTCTTCTCAATTTGAGAGTTTTGGTGATTCCATCCATCTTTCCACAATACATCACTTCCTGTGGATTTCACACACATTGACATATATCATAAGATGTACAAAAGTGGCTATTATTCTAATCTGACATAGAACTAACCTATTCTACAAAGTTGCGAAAGAGTTTACAACAAGGTCACATGGCCGTTTGGTATCAACGTTTACCAAATGACCCCTGCCTTTCAGCAGCTAGCTTTGTTACAGTGGACATCTTGGTAAGTTTATAAGTCTACATACATAAATATACAGCGGGTAAAAGAAGTATTGAAAATGTCACCATTTTTCTCATAAATATATTTCTAAAGATGTGGTGAAAATTTCATGTAATTTCATAGCATGTCGGTGACAACCCATGAAATCCATACATACAAAGAAACCAAAACAAATAAATTCAGAAATTAAAGTATGTGTAATAAAATGGAATCACACAGGGAAAACGTCTTGAACATGCTTACTGAAATGAATACTTTTCATTTCTAATATTAATACTTCGTACAAAATCCTTTGTTGGTAATTACAGCTTTAAGATGCTTCCTGTATGGAGAAGCTAGTCACATGTATTGCTCAGGTGTGATTTTGGTCCATTCTTCCACACAGTCTTCTAATCTTGAAGGTTCCGTGGGCCTCTTCTATGAACTCTGATCTTTTAGTTCTTTCCATAGACTTTCTGTTGGATTCAAGTGAGGTGATTGACTGGGCCATTCTAGCAGCTTTATTTTCTTTCTTTGAAACCAGTTGATAGTTTCCTTGGCTTTGTGTTTGGGATCATTGCCTTGCTGAAATGTCCACCCTCGTTTTCATCTTCATCATCCTGGTACATTGCAGCAGATTTTAATAAAGAATGTCTTGGTGCATTTTTCCATTCATCCTTCCTACAATGATATGCAGTTTGCCTGTACCATATGCTGAAAAACCACCCCACACCACGATATTCCCACCTGCAAACTTCACTGATTGTATGGTGTTTTTGGGGTGATGTGCAGTGCCATTTGACCTCCAAACATGGTGTGTATTATGGCATCCAAAAATTAAAATTTTGGTCTCATCTGACCAGACTTTATTTTCCCAGTATTTCACAGGCTTGTCTAAATGTTGTGCAGCAAACTTTAAACGAGCTTCAATGTGCTTTTTCTTCAGCAATGGGGTCTTGCGTGGAGAGTGTGAATACGGGCCATGGCGTTTGAATGCATTACTTATGGTTTTCTTTGAAGCAATTGTACCTGCTAATTCCAGGTTTTTCTGCAGCTCTCCACAAGTGGTCCTTGGCTCTTGGACAATTCTTCTGGTAATTCTTTTCATTCTTCTGTCAGAAGTCTTGCGAGGAGCACCTGGTCATGGCCAGTTTATGATGAAATGGTGTTCTTTCCACTTCCAGATTATGGCCCCAGCAGTGCTCACTGGAACATTGACATTTAGAAATCCTTCTGTAACCAATGCCATCTGTGTGGTTTTTTTTTTCGCAAGAAGAAGGTTGCAAAGCTCTTTGCTTTTACCCATATGAGATATTTCTTGTGTGACACCTTGGTAATGAGACACCTTTTTATAGGCAATCAGTTTAGATTGAACCAGCTGATATTAATTTGCACTGACAAGGGGCAGGATTGCTTTCTAATTACTGATTGATTTCAGCCGGTGTCTGTTTCCCATTCCTTTTTGCGCCTACCTTTCTTCATGTGCTCAATACTTTTTCCCTGTGTCACTCCATTTTATTACACATAACTTCACTTCTGAATTTATTGTTTTGGTTTCTTTGTATGTATGGATTGCATGGGTTGTTACCGACATCTGGTAAAAATTTAATGTCAATAGCACTTTTAGAAATATATTTGCTGAGAAAAATGGTGGTGCCGTGTTTAATACTTATTTTACCTTGTGTGTGTCACAATATACAGAAACAGTGTAAAATTAATATTAAAAAAAAAACCCTCTACCTAATATGATTAAAAATAAATCCTTCAGCTTCAGGCAAGTCACTTTGCTTAGGCTCAGAAGTGCAATCTGGAAGAATGATGTCATTATTGTGCTACAGGTAGGAGTAAGCATTTCCTCCGTCCCCTCTTCTCCAGTGATCTGATTGCAACATTGTAACTTTGCAGCAAGTCACAAGGTGATATAATACAGCAGTGGCTGATCTGTTTCATACATTTGTGAACACAGCCAACAACTGAACAGGCACCAGGATTTACATGATTGTGTCGTTTCTGAGCCTGAATCAGTCCAGGAGTTAAATGATGGACAAACCAAGGATGATTTTGTCCTGGAGAAAAAAGCAAATGAAAACATTATCGGGAAGTGTCAGGGCTCCCAGGTGTGACCAGAGGTGTGTGGCTGACGCAGGGAAACGCAGACCTCAGATATGTTATAAACAATATAATTTATTAACACTAACAATACAAACATAAACGCAGTGCAATACTAAAACATAATACAGTGCAACCAAACCAACCACCCACAGATAACAGTACATACAAGCAAGCGTCGTCAGGCAGGCCGGGTCAATATCAATAGGGCAGGTAGGTACAGGGGGAGCAAGCGGAGATTGGTCGGGGTCTGCAGGACAGAAACAGGATACAGGGCCCAGGACAAACACAACACCAAGGCAGAGTCTGTGGGTCTGGCCATCCCTTAAATTCCCCAGCATAATCAGTTCCAGGTGTTAGCTGGCTGCAAAGTTGAGTCTCTGATTGCTGGGAGCATCCGCTGGACAGCCCTGGTACTGCAGATCAAAAGGCAGGTGAGTCCCACCATTGCTGGCCAGTCCATTTCTGACAGTACCCCCCCCCTCAAGGAGCGGCCTCAGGACACTCCAAACAGTCCTAGCTGGGAAAAATGTTCCACCGCCCGGGTCTGGTAACTGGCGGGATATCAAAGACTGGCACACCGGGCAGGACTCCGGGCAGTGGTACACCGGGCAGAGGCACATCGGGCTGGACTCCAGGCAGAGGCACACCGGGCAGAGGCACATTGGGCTGGACTCCGGGCAGAGGCACACCGGGCTGGACTCCGGGGCAGAGGCACACCGGGCTGGACTCCGGGCAGAGGCACATCGGGCTGGACTCCGGGCAGAGGCACATCGGGCTGGACTCCGGGCAGAGGCACATCGGGCTGGACTCCTGGCAGAGGCACATCGGGCTGGACTCCGGGCAGAGGCACATCGGGCCACCAGGCGGAGCAGCAGGCACCGGGCCCCCGGGCGGAGCGGCAGGCACCGGGCCCCCGGGCGGGGCGACAGGCCTCGGGCCCCCGGGCGGGGCGACGGGCCTCGGGCCCCCAGGCGGGGCGGCGGGCGCCGGACCCCCAGGCGGAACTACAGGTCTCGGGCCCTCAGGCGGAGCGGCGGGCGCCGGACCCCCAGATGGAGTGACAGGTCTCGGGCCCTCAGGCGGAGCGGCGGGCGCCGGACCCCCAGATGGAGCGACAGGTCTCGGGCCCTCAGGCGGAGCGGCGGGCGCCGGACCCCCAGATGGAGCGACAGGCTTCGGGCCCCCAGGCAAAGCGGCGGGCGCCGGACCCCCAGGCGGGGCTACAGGTCTCGGGCCCTCAGGCGGAGCGGCGGGCGCCGGACCCCCAGATGGAGCGACAGGTCTCGGGCCCTCAGGCGGAGGAGCAACAGGTCTCGGGCCCCCAGGCGAAGCGGCGGGCACCGAGTCACCAGGCACGACAGTGGGCACCGAGTTGTCTGGCAAGACTGCGGGCACCGAGTCAACTGGCGGAACTGCGGGCACCGAGTCGTCTGGCAAGACTGCGGGCATCGAGTCAACTGGCGGAACAGCGGGCACCGAGTCGTCTGGCAAGACTGCGGGCACCGAGTCGTCTGGCAAGACTGCGGGCACCGAGTCGTCTGGCAAGACTGCGGGCACCGAGTCGTCTGGCAAGACTGCGGGCACCGAGTCGTCTGGTATCGGATTGTCTGGCTCGACAGCGGGCATCAGGTCACCAGGTATGACAGCGGGCACTGGGTCACCAGGCATCGGGTCATTTGGCTTGCCAGCGGGCACCGTGTCATCTGGCAAGGCAGTGGGCACTGGGTCACCAGGTATGACAGCGGGCTCTGAGTCAATTGGCACGACAGCGGGCACTGGATCAGGTACCGGATCATCTGGATCAACAGCGGACATCGAGTCAACTGGCCTAATAGGATCGTCGGGCTGGATCAGTTCATCATGCTGAGTAGCGGCATCAGGCTGAGTAGAGGCTTCAGGCTGAGTAGAGGCTTCAGGCTGAGTAGAGGCTTCAGGCTGAGTCACGGAAGGCAGGTTCACCGGTTTGGATACTGGCAGGATGGTATTGGTTGGAAAGAATTTTCGCTTTTTTCTGGTTTTAACTACTGGAGCACTGCAAGTAAACGCAGGTCTGCAAACGAATGGAGCAGCTGGAGACAGAGAAGAACTGGAGGATGGAACAGGAGAGGGAGCAGTTGCTACAGAGGGCTTTTTTACAGGGTTAAAGGCAGGATAGGTGCAGCGAGTGGGAACAGGGTACTGACATGCGGTAGATAGCCAAGTATACTGGGCTGTAACTGGAGGAGCTGGTGGGAATACAGGAGTAGAGTTAGAAGCAGGACTGGGTTTTTGTAAGCTGACTGAGGCTGGGTGCAACAAGTCTGTCCATGTCTGCAGTATGGGTTGAACAAAGCTGAGCTTACACAAACCCTGTCTGGTCAATGACTGCACTGCGTTTATACAATCTCTTAGTGTCTGTGGTGAACATGTGGAATAACGCTCCAGAAAGTAACCCACATCATCCTCTAATAACCACACCAGGGACTCTACCTGGTCTGCACTAAATGGTGGCAAAAATTCATCCCTGCATTCGGGGGAACCAGATGAAACCAACTCAGCACAAACCTCAATCAATGGCTGCACCTCAGAGAACTCTGTGCCCTGATCTACTAGAACATGAGCGAGCCGTATACATTCTAGCAGTTCATCCCGGGTATACTCCTTCAGAGTTTGATAAGCATACTCCCTGTCATCAAACACTAGCAGATATAAATACGCAACCTCATCCAGATCCATCCTTCCCATCAACAAACCAAGATGGCTTCCCTGTGCAGCCACTTCTGGTCAGGATTGGCCTTGGTGTAATGTCAGGGCTCCCAGGTGTGACCAGAGGTGTGTGGCTGACGCAGGGAAACGCAGACCTCAGATATGTTATAAACAATATAATTTATTAACACTAACAATACAAACATAAACGCAGTGCAATACTAAAACATAATACAGTGCAACCAAACCAAACCAACCACCCACAGATAACAGTACATACAAGCAAGCGTCGTCAGGCAGGCCGGGTCAATATCAATAGGGCAGGTAGGTACAGGGGGAGCAAGCGGAGATTGGTCGGGGTCACAGGCCAGGTTCAGCAGGTAGCAAGCAGTGTAGTACAGAGGGTCAGGCAGAGGGATGGTCAGGGTCACAAGCCAGGGATCAGAACAGGTAGCAAGCAGCGTGGTACAGAGGGTCAGGCAGAGGGATGGTCAGGAGCGAGCCGGGATCAGAGCAGGAGAAGTCAGCAGTGGTTCAGAAACAGGATGCAGGACAGAAACAGGATACAGGGCCCAGGACAAACACAACACCAAGGCAGAGTCTGTGGGTCTGGCCATCGCTTAAATACCCCAGCATAATCAGTTCCAGGTGTTAGCTGGCTGCAAAGTTGAGTCTCTGATTGCTGGGAGCATCCGCTGGCCAGCCCTGGTACTGCAGATCAAAAGGCAGGTGAGTCCCACCATTGCTGGCCAGTCCATTCCTGACAGGAAGAGTGCTGTGAACTTTAGGAGAGGATATTACATCCCAGTCACATCGGGTGTGACTTGGCATGTGACTTGCAAATCGTATGCCAAGTCGCAACCTATTGTTTGCTATTAAAGCGGTCATATCGTTGCGGTTCCGACTTAGTCTGAGCCGCACCGATTTCTAAAGTAGCGTATGCACTACTTTTGTTGCGATTTGCATAGACCTCTGTGACAGATGTCTTGCAAATCGCAAATGAAATAGGCAGGTAACCTGATTTTGCAATCGTGCGACTTCACTGTAAGTCGCACAATTTCAAAATCGGCTTTGATGTGACCGGGGGCTTAATACTTGTAAATGTTACACATGGTGCACTAAACATGAAAACATATATCTGACTAGGTCCACTTTATCCATTACCTCCAGAGTTCTAGAAAGTCAATATGAAAATCTGCTGAAATGCCTGCCAGGCCTTCCATATGAGTTGACAAGCATCTGAGAAGCCTACAAGTGTCAGGAAGCATAGGCTTCAGTACCTCTCAAAAGTTGACAAAATTTTTTTTACAAAGTAACTTCAGCACAATTTACAAACTCCCACCTCCAATGTGAAATTGCTGCTGACACTAAATGTGTTCCCACATATGCAAGTAGTGAATACTCTGTAAATCAGTGCCGTGCAATATAAATTATACAATTTATATCATATGTGCAATCCTCATAATAAAATGTATGTGCAATTTTCCCTGAAACGTCTTACAAAGTGCATATAAACATCACAGTGTGTATATATAAATAATGTGTTCATCTTACGACATAGAGATCCCATATAACAAAGAGAGTCCTTATATAATATATAAATTCTTCTCAATAAGGTTGCTCAATCCTTATAAATATTTGTGCACCTTCCTGTGCAAAATCACCCTTCTGTGTTTCTCCTCCACCAACATACATATGTACTCTTGCCTCCTTATTTTGACCTATAAACGTTTAGGTCAAACAGTGCTTTTCCCTTTTTAACCTGGGTAGTTATAATTCCTGTATTGCTCCACTCTCCTCCACAATAGTCTTCCTGTTCCTTATACAGCATATCCTCTGAAAATGCAGAAAGAACACTAATCATAGTGTATCACTTAGATCAATCAACATTTATTAAAAAGATTGACTGCACTCACATAAAAAGTGCCCAACTGGGACACTGCAGTTGAATAGCTTCCATAATATCATATCCAGCGTTCTATGGCGACTCACAGAATGGTGGCTTGCAAACCTCTGGTTGTGCGGCTTGACGCCATCAGCACACCCCATCACAAGAATTGAGCAACCTTATTGAGAAAAATGTATATATTATTTAAGGACTCTCTTTGTTATATGGGATCTCTGTCGCAAGATGAACACATTATTTATATATATACTGTGATGTTTATATGCACTTTGTAAGAAGTTACAGGGGAAATTCCACAGGCACTTTATTATGGGGATTGCACATATGGTATAAATTATATTGTGCGGCACTGATTTAGAGTATTCACCTCTCAATAGTTGTTTGCAGTGTCCAGATCATTAGAATTGTATAACTATTCATACTGTAGAAGTGGTAGTGCTATTGCTGTGCTCTTCTTTCTTTTTTTTTTTTTTTTTTTTTTTTTTGTGAATGTACACATTGAAAAATTTTAAGTCTTGTTAAACAGAGGGTACTAATAACATGGGCACTAACCGGTTCAAGTGCATTTTTTTTTTGCAACAAAAAAAGGCAAAATGAAGTATTTTCACAATATTGGTTGCCAAATTTTTAAAAGGTCAGTGTACTACTACTGTAGGTTTGTTTGGGCAATGACTTGGGAAAAAAAAATAGGTTAAACAGGTTTTTCCCTTATTTGACATTTACACATTCTTTTATATATCCAACATCACCCATCTAAAACCTTCCATAATCATGGGTTTCAAAATGTATAAAAAATTTCAAAACATCGTTTCTAAGAATAACAAGCACCCCTTAAAAGGAAATGCAAGTGTTTGAAGAAAAAACTTTTGTTATGTTGCTACTGTGCACAGGCTTTCACTATTTAGCAGCTGTCTATAAGCTTGACACACCTTGTGCCGGGACATGGACTTTGTACTGAAACTATATTATTAAGCAAAAGGTAATAAAACATACTGTTTTTTATTATTGTGACACAGAGTATACATTCAAATTGTAGTGTCTTTTTGTCTTTTTTTTTTTTTTTTTTTAAGGAATAATATCACAAATATAAGAGGTGTGCTGACAAGCAAAATTGAAAAGCCGCATGCAGGCAAACACAAGAAGACAAAATGTTCTCTATTCACCTCAAAACAGTAAACCTTATTCATGTAAGGCAATTAAATGTGAGCCACACAAAGTATAAAAAATAGAACAGTTTGGTGTTCTTTTCTATTTGTGTAACATTTGCTGTTAAGGAGTTTTCCAGGATAAACCAATATTGTGGCCAAGCTTCTGAATTGTCTGGTAGGCACCCCATGCCGTTCTTCCTCAACTGTGTCAAGAAGAGTAGTTTTAGATTTTTGTTACTGGCCAACATAGGCAATTTGTATATATTCATAATCCTTCATGGTTGTGATATGGTTTCTAAAGGTCTAAAGTGATGGCACAAAAGTGTAACAGCTTCAGGTCTTTGGAGTCTAGATGAGGTGCTGGTTTCGGCACCAGTTGTAACCACGTTGCCATGGAAGGGCAGACCCCGAAAAGTTACTCTGGGATCTTCCAATGCAATCACGGTTTCCCCCTAATATCGGAAATTTTC